TAGCCAAATACAGACTGGCCAATTAGCTGCAGCCAGTTTGTGTGCTGCCAGAAACTCAGTAGAAATGCCTGCCCTGAACACACGCTGTGTGCGCCCAGGATCGCTCAGGGGCTCTATTCGCATTTAAAATCACACAAAAGAGCGGTTACATGCAAACAGTGGCGGCACTGGCCATTGATTTGTACAGAGTACAAATCTGACAGCTGCTTTTCGCTCACACTTTGTGCATTCAGCAGTAGTTCCGGCAGTAAGAATCCTATCGATTCTTGCCGGTGGCCACCCCTTGCCACCCATGTGAATTCAGCCTGTGTGTGCAGGAGTTTTACATAGTTGTCTTCCATTTTCTATGTGCAAGTAGGAAACTTTTTCAAAAATGCTGCCAAATCAATCATATTTACACTGCTGCATGCCTGGCAGAACCACTCCCTGCAAATCTATTCCATAATAACCTCAACAGTACAATAGAAGATGTAGATTACCTCCAATTATTAAAACTGCCAAACAGGTTCATAGACTATTGCTGTAATTAAATAAAATATTTCCAAGTGCAGTAACCCATATCATTCATATGAAATTTAGTATTCTGCATTGCATTCTGGGAAAGTTTTTCCCTAATACACGTAATGAGTACTCCATGAATAAAGATACATTTCCTTTCACATGGCCTTCTTTAAATGATAACACTGCCAGGTGTGCTTACAGTAGTTACCATATATGTATGTGTAAGAAAAATAACCAACACGCTGCTACAGCACAACCATAATGCTACACCAGAGCACAAGTCGTAATATAAAACATAAAGGGAATACTGCCATTACATGTGTTAACCACAAACACATCAGAAAATATTATTGTGATAGTGGCCCCTGAAGGATCTGACTGCAGTACAGTCCGATAGGTTACACACAAAATACACACACAAAAAAAAGAAAGACAATCTAACACTGTAAAATAGTGCAACCTTTACAGATAAAAACAAACACTCTACTCAACCTCCCCCCCTTTAGTAATTGCATGGATTGCAAAGGTTTTGTCAACCATCATTGCAGAGTTCTACCTACAGCCGTTTGTATTAAACTCGCACATACTAATTTCACCTATTCCCTGCTATAGCAACATGTTCAGTCCAAGCATTACAGAAAACTGCAACCACACAGGTAGAAACTGACATTTTAGGGGCAAGTTCTGCACGTCAAAATGATACAAATTACCTTCATATATGGAAACCATGCTTAATTTTTCCCAGTTTAGTAAATATATCAGGGGTCTGCTGACTGAACAAGTCATATTTAATAAAAATGAACTTAAAAAAAAAAAAAAGGAAGACGGAAGCGAAGGCTTGTGCAACAACAAAGTTTTAGGTCAGTAATGTTTTTTCTTAAGGACTGAAAGAACTGTTGATATGTGCAAACAAATGTATGGAAAAAGAATATATCACTAAGAAAATGTGCAATAGAAGAATTGACTCAGCAGGAAAGCAAATAGTAATTTCCTATATTGTTCCAGCTTGCTTTTTTAATTCACAGAAAAGTTCCTTCCTCCTCATCCTCGCACAATAGTGGAGTGTTCTCCTGCAGGCATTTAAAGGAAGCTTTATACTTGGCTTATACAGCCTGTCACTATAGATTGCCAACAAAGACAATTGCTGCAGCAAAAATCTACAGGGCAGTGGGTCGGCAGATGTCTATTTACTTTATAGAATTAAAAATACAGAAAATACTGAATAGGCAATTAGTTCAGTATGCAATTTAAATCCTATGGGTCCCCTAGTGTATGCCGGAGCGATGTGGTGAACTGGGCAAACATCAACTTAGCTGATTAATGTGCAGTATGTAAATGTAAAAGTAAACTAATGTGTTATAGATGATTTATAGAAGAAAATTAAAAGAACAGGTGCACATCTACCAAAGAGACAGACATTACAGGTAGATAGGCTCTCCATAAAATCCATGATAGAATGTCAGACATGTGCAGTACAGCAGCTCTAAGAATATATGAGCAATGCCCAGCCTGGTAGAAGGCCACAGCATCAGGATCGGAGGATCAGTCCATTATCCAATATCTTTATACATAGGACTCGAGTAGGGAAAGGAAGGCCTTTGGGTAATGGGTGTACAAAATAGATTTAAAACCTATCCAGTGGGGAAGTACTCAGTAACGGAGGTCATGAGGGATGAAGTCCACACTCTTGGATGTGGAGGCGCTGGAAATGGAGGAATCATTTGTAAACTGATATAAATATCCAAATTACACCTTTATCAGTTCCCTTATAGGGGATAGATCAGCCATATTAGATGCAGCCCTTCAGGCACCTCTTTGTACACCCCAAGGTGCACCCAGGAATTCAAGTATGCCTACATGAGCGTTAGTGATGTTTTGTGGAAGATAAGACTGTCAACTGCCTCTAGATAGGCAGAGCCTGCTGTCATTCATGCAGCTGGGTGGATCTCTGACAGTATTGTCGAGATCCGTCCCGGCTGCAGCGGTCTCAGTATACCGCGAGCTGTAGCTCGCTATATACTGAGTTTTGGGTCACAGGAGGATGCTGGTATATGTCTTCACGTGACCCTTAAGAGAACTATGGGGAAAAACACTTACCGCATGGTTCTCTTTTAAGCGTACAAATGGAAGACAAACTTGTATTTTGTAAATTGATTTCATAGGTAAACAATTCTGTCAGTTTTAAACACTGTCCTGTTAGGCATTTTAAGCCATCGTTATGCAAAAACAAAATGTCCACATAATCTGAACAATTTTTAGGCCTGGATTTAGACTAAAGTGAATGCTCAATGGTGAACCACACACTTTGGACACTGTCCTTCCTCTTTAGGGACACTGATATTTATTATCAGATTATCCCAATCCACAACCAGCATATAGCCAGGGAAGTGTCATCACAGCTCAAAAAACATGATTATAGCTGCATAAAAACATCATTGGACAGTTCTTGAGGTCACCATAAAGGGTAAATGGGTGGCTGGGAAGGAGTTCTAGAGCTGGAGCTTACCAACATGTTATGAAACTCATGAAGGAAGACTATTAAAAGAAGAACTATAAAGGACAGACCAGTTCTAACAACCAATCAGCTTTTCCTTTTTCTGCTGCTAGAAAATAAGACAGTTTGGTTCACCATTATGGGTGAAATATAGATGGTTCTTATGAACACTTAGCTTATGTAGGGTTTAAAAGAAAAAAAAAAAAAAAAAAAAAAAAACTCAACCAAATAAGGTTTTACGCAATACTTGGCTAAGTCAAAAGTAAATATTTACTTTAAGTTCTCTCTTGATTACAAGTATACAACACTACATTTATGACTAAACATTTATGAGAAAAAGCCATTTTTGTGGTCATTTTTGTGTTAGGATATACAACTTGGTTGTACAAACCTAGTAAAAATAAAAACGTACACACACATTGCCACCTTCAAATCAAGTTTGTCCTATGTACAAAGCCCGAGTAGTTTAAACATGTTAATAGCTTACCAAAGCCATGCGCCCATGCAGCAAACAGCAGAGTTAACTGTAAAACAGCACAGAGGTAACAAATGGGAGAATGAAATGTTAATAATGTAAAAACAGAAGAGTGAAATAAATAAATAGAACAAAAGAATGACCACGAGCACACCTGGAAGCAAAAAGACCACGTATGGGGGTGGACGGCAAATTGCCTTTTTTCCTATTATGAGTTTGGCAGTAGTGATAATTACAAACTAGAGTCATCTTCTAAACTGACCATAGCATGTTGACAGGTGCAGTGGAAAAAACATATATTTCCTTTCTCCATGCAAAACATTTACAAGAAGAACAGGGCTATGTATTGTTCATAAATGATGCTTCAAACATGCACCATTCTGACTGTACACACACTGAATGCTTATCTACTGTGCCTGGCTCATTCCTCATCATCAGACTGATCCTGGGTATACAGAACATTTCCTGCGTACCCTAAAGGAGCCATCTTTAAAACCATTAATGTAGAACTATGGCTTCACTTAAAAAAAAAAAAAATTCTCTGTAGCAGCAATTAGAAGTCCAACTCAACTCACACACACACACACACACTACAAAATCTCACAAATTCCTGTTGACCCTGCCATTGAATTCCACCTCATGCAGCTCCCTGTGATGAGAACCATGCACTGCTCCTGAATTGAAGCAAGCATAGGGTTGTCACCCCTCTATGTAGGCTGTGTCTGCTTGAAAAAGACAATGCATGGGACATGGCTATCCGACTTTTCCCTGTTGATTCACAAGCCTTTAACCTATCAATCAGCAGTTGGAAGACATCTAGCCATGCCCACTTCTTTCTGGAATGGCAACACTGCCTGAGTTACTAAACCCCGCCCCCCCAAAATGTAGGCCTCAGTGTCTAGAAAGCAGAGAGTGAGTACGAGTCAAAGATTTGTTTGTTTTTTTTGTAAGTTCAAAGGCGTGCACGTTACATAGTAATTGGATTTTGACACACAGGAGTCTTTAGCTGTACATTAAGCACACAATATTTAACTTAATAAACTACCGTAGAGAAATGTCAGTGATTAGTTGCGGTGTATTCAAAGATAATACATAGGCAAACATCAGCCTTTCCCGAAAGGCGACAGGGCTATCCTGTAAATGGAACTTTTGCATTGCAGGCTTTCCAAAATATGCCCTGCCCATTAGCTTTTAAATGCATTATACCATCCTTTGCTGAACCAGAACACAGATACATGGACAGCACTGTTCGGCCTCAGTACGTGAGGTGCCTTAACTGTAGTATAAAGGAGAAGTAGGGAGATTTTCATAGTGTTCTCTAGGAGATGTATACAAATAACTGTCCAAAAGAAGAAAAAGATTTTTGAATAAATGTCAGGCAACAGTTCCTTATAGAAGGAACGGAAACATATCCTATAGCACATGTTAAAGATCTGTCAGACTACAAATATATACACCTCATACGAATCATACATTAGAAATAATTTTCTGTACACACCGAGCACCTCTGATTTTAATACATTTACTTACTTTTTCCTCTCCTTTTCCCTTTTTAGGGTTTGTGATCCTCCTGCTTGTTGTGCTTGGGACTGGAGTAACTCTGTTGCCGTCTTACGTTTCTTAAATTCGTTGACTTCATCTTCCAGGCTTTTCTTCTTATCCTCAAGCTTTTTTTTCTCGTCTTGGTGTAATTTCTTCAAACGGTCAAACTTCTCATGGAGCTTTCAGAAATAGGTGAAAGACCATCAAAGTGTTGCCTGATAAAGTCTACTAAAACTACTTATCCAAAGCAGAAATACAAGGTAGATTTGTTTATCCAAGAAAATCTACATTACAATGTCCTTACTTATAAAAGCTTCCAGAGAGCTTGATGCCTTTGAGCAAGAATGTATTGAAATTATGCAGGTTGACTTGGATATATCATTTATATTTGCCCCTTAATTATGCAGGCTTACCTATAAACCATTTATATATCTATCAAGCTTTTAAACGAAGAGTCACAAGGCTGTATCGTAACCGGTTCTCTTTGAAAACTTTCCATTGTGCTGCATAATAAATTAAACCCCAGCTGGCATAATACCCTGGGACCTAAAATACAGCAACCCTATTCATTATTAAATATTTGCACAGCAGACACTTTCAAATCATTTTCAACTGATGTCACAACCATATGAAAGTCATCTAGCTAGACAGATCCCTGGTCTACTTTAGAGCCAGTTATTAATTAAAAACTTTATATGCATTTTAAAATCCTACCTCAGTCTTTTTTCTATAAGCCTCTTGTAATGCCATGCACAGCAGGAATAAGACAGGACGGTGACGGGGCAGCACTGTAGTCCAGTTGTACTACAAGTCTTGCACATTGCTGCCAGTCTAACACAGAGCCCTGGCTGATTAAGTGAACAGAGAGAAGTGAACAGAATGATGACTTTAGGCTTTAAGTGTGCTTCTGCCTCTTCACCATCCAGTCGCATGCTAAACTCCAAATCACAGGCTCAGCTTTTATTCAGCAGATTCAATCCATAAATTCTCAGACTTATATGGAGTTCCCATTACAAAAATAATAAATTTGTTTGAACATGTCATTTTTTATTTTTAATCAAAATTGTACCTCTTTTTCTGCTTCTTTTAATTCGGCTTCCTTCTCTTTTACCCTTTGCACAAACATCTGTCGCATTTCTTCCTCTTTCTTCTGCAAATCACCCAGAAACTCATTTCTTTTTGCTTCATATGTCTCTTGTAGGCTAAAGCAGAAAATACATTTTAATTTTATTTAGAGCTGCAGCTAACGATTATTTTCAAAATCGATTAGTTAGCCGATTATTAAGTTCGATTAATCGGTTAATCGGATAAACTATAAAATAAAGTTTAAAAAATGGCTCCAGTGATGGGACTACTAGTTTGTATTGAGGTTGTAGTCCATCACAGGAGCAAGCTTGGACCGGTGGAAGTAAAAAAGAAAAAAAGGATAGTGTGGTGTGCAATATAGTGAAATGGAAAGTGTACAATTATACAGCAATGCATGCAGAATGGCAACGGTTATAGAGGACTACAAAACCCAGCAAAAGCACATTATACAGCACAATGCAGAATACCGCCAGCTATAGAGGAATACAACAAATCCCAGCAATAGTACATAATAGCTGGCGGCATTCTGCATTGCGCTGTATAATGTACTATTGCTGGGTTTTGTAGTCCTCTATAGCTGGTGGTATTTAGCATTGTACCACTTTATAATGTATTATTGCTGGGACTTGTAGTCCTCTATACAGCACAATGCAGAATATCACCAGCTATAGAGGAGTACAACAAATCCCAGCAATACATTATACATACAGTGTATAATGTATTGCTGGGATTTGTATTCCTCTGTATAATATACAGCACAATGTACCATCAGCTATAGAGAAATACAAATCCCAGCAATACATTATAGAGCACCATGTGTGGGAAAGTGCAGGCTTACCTGAGCAGTCTTCCAGCAACTTGCTTCTGAGATCGGACCTGTCTATCAGCGGCTGTCATCCCCCCACACCTGCTCCTCCTTACTACATCTCCCCGCGTCCCTGTGCCAATCGTGGATGTGGGCGGGCGGTGAGTGTGAGGCGGGGAGGAGGTGCGGCGTGGATGCGGGCGGGCGGGTCTGGCAGCGGCGAGCGTGAGGTGGGGAGGAGGTGCGGTGCACAGCGTGTGGAGCTGTGAACAGGGCCAACTGATCAGAAGCCGATTAATCGATTATTGAAAAAGTTTACAACTTTTTCAATAATCGATTATAATCGATTATGTCGATTAGTTGTTGCAGCCCTAATTTTATTCAATTATTTGAAACTATATGGGTTTTATCCACTTAAAAAAGGGGATCAGAAAAAAGTGTATGCCCAATCCATCCTAGTTTACATAGATGATGCTCTGTGACAGATTTAATTTATAAATTGCATTCAGTACTGGAGTACTGTGACCTAAAATCAAGGAAGGACAAAGCCATAGGAAAAAAAAAAAAGTAGCTTGGAAAGGGAAGAAAATGTATCTATACTTCCATCTATTACAAAAAAGTGGGCTATGTACTTGCCAAGGTAAAAAAAAAAAAAAAGGCAAGTACAAAATCCTCCTTTTATTAATTGTTCAATTGAGAACTCAGCATGACTGTAGGGGTGGTTGAAAACAGTCACAAGATGGGGGAAGTGAACTGAATACAAATTAATAAAATAGGCCTGACACCTCGGAGAAGGACCGTATAGGATTTCCTCCAAAAATACCAGTACCTGAATGGTTTACTGTCAGGGTCTGTGTCCTTGAACCCCATTTCCTCTAACTTGCACCGTCGGTACAATTCATAATGATGTGTGTGCGTCTGTTCCCGCAGATCTTCCATATTCACCCGTATAAGCATTTCCCGAAGCTTTACAAAGTCACAGTGCGATTCATTTTCAACTGAAGGAGAAAATAGATAGATACTTTGGTGGTATTTGTATGCATTTGTCAAGCAGCAAGCAGTTACAACTTTGAAGTGTATTGCTTTTCAGAGCAACAAAATAAATATTTCCATGTAAAATGAGAGGATTCGGGCACAACCAATGAAAGTCTACAGTGATGAGGAATAAACAGTACCTTGAACAGTGCCCCATGGGTATTGCCGGACCTTCATCATTTTGTTTCCAATTTTGGCTTCCTCTGTACTCCCAACAACTGCAAACGGCAAGTGAGCCTGCAATATCCAAAGTGTTAAATAACAATAATGCTGCTTTTACAATGCAAACACATTTATCAATGTATGTAAAAGGTAGAAATTTATGTAAATGTACAATTTTATTCTGCTTCATTTTCAAAATATTTTCATGCAATCATGTCAAGTCAAATGTAATTGTTTATGAAAGAAAACAGACTGGAGAACACTTACATTCATTGTCCCATTAATTTCCGCCACAGTTTCATCATCAGTGGGAAACTGGTAGATCTGCACGCCATTACTGACCAGCTCACTCGTGATTTTAATCTTAAATTTGGTTAGTTCACTTTTTGAAATGGAGTCCGACTTTGCAATGATAGGAATGATGTTAACCTGCAGAGCAAAATGAGACACGCTACAGTTTAGTATTATTTATGTGCAGGCATTTACCATGTAAGTACATTATACATGACACATTCATTAAGCCAGGCAATTGATTTGTTTGAATGTCATGACTGATTGGATTTAATGTCAATTATTTTTTTTTGCGCAACTCTGAAATTACAAGTACAGTCTGTGCTTCGTCTCTAATAAAATGATTGTCTAGCTAGCTAGGTTAACGGTTTAAAAAAAAACCTGGATGCATTCCTAAATTAACAGATCTAGATATTGACTTCTTATAATAAAGCAGCAGAGATTGGTAATCCAGGGAATATCCGATTGCCTTATGGGATTGAGAAAGATTTTGTTTGTCTGTTTGAGTAAATTGAACCATGCTTTACAGGGTTTTTTTTGCCTTCTTCTGGATCAATGGTGGGTAGCTATGGGCATAGCGTTCAGTTTTTAGGTTTTTCTTCTCTTTTTTTCCCCCCTCTTATCTCTATCTGGCTAACTATGTAATGTATAAACTGTCAAATCTAAAAGATGCAACCAAGAAAAGATGTATGCAACCTGTGTAGTCCCCCAGGAAACTATCCTGTGGGGGGGCACAAATTTCCACGTCATAACATTGAGACCAGGCACTTGGGACACCCTAAAAGCCCTTCCAATATTCATCTGGTTCCTAGCTGAAAGTTTGTTATGCAGAGAAGCTGAAACCACACAATGTAGTGTATAATGTAATATATACTGCACTCAGTAAACTGTCAGTTTCGATGTATAGCTTGTAATTATGTGTGCACATATAGCCGTAATTTATTATTATGGAAACAGGTTCTGCTTCCTGCTATACAGGGCTACATGACAGTTGTACTTTGCAGCTCCTTCTCACAATGCAATTCTATGAGCCATCTGACATCTAAAAAACAATGCACCCCCCCCCCCCCCCCTCGTTAAAAAGACAAGTCCATCGAGTTTAACCAACATAGAAAAAAATATATGGATATGGAAGATATTTTATCTCACCAGCTGTTAAGCAGAGGCAAGGAGATTCCACTGAGACACTAAAGCTCTCTAGTGTCTAAACCGCAAATTTCTCTATTAAAAATATTCAAACCCAAGCATGTAAAAATGTGAAAGTCATATACAATTACTATAAACCCTCCCATAATGACTCAAAATATGTACTCACTATAAATACGCTATACTTTTCCATCAATGAGGTAGGGAGTCAACTTTTACAGAACAGAAAATGGAATGGACCCTGCCACCAACTTATGAAACTTTGAAGGTAAAAGCACAGAAAAAGTAAGCATTTTAAAGCGTACTTGCGGTGCTTTTCCTTTCCATAAATTGTTGGCTATGCACTTAGAACTAGAAATGTGACTACTCAAGGAGAGCCAATCCCAGAGCACAGCCCCTCCCTCTGTTGTCATAGCACTTTTCTCTTCTGGGAGTATTCAATTACTCTGTGTTGGCCCAGCTCCTCCGCCACTCCCTTCACCTCCCTACATAACCATTAACCTCCCTGGCAGTCTGATTATTTCATTTTTTTTCCCCTTGTTTCAATTTTTTTTACTTTCAAATCTCCCGCCAGTTTCGCCCCCCTGAGACGCGGACGATCGCAAGGGACGGAACCCGGAACCTGGCATCGGCCGGAGGACACAGCGAGGATCGTGGGCAAGGTAAGACGCTACAGTGTAATCCCGAGTGTGGCTCGGGGTTACCACTTTTGGTAATGAAGAATAAGCCCGAGCAGTGGCGTCACAAGGGGGGTGCGGCCCGCACCCAGATGACACCATTGGAGGGGGTGACACCAAAATGACAGTCATTTTGGTGTCACCCCCGTCGGAAAAGTCAGGCGCTCGGTCATGGACCGAACGCCCGACAGTATCAGGAGAGAGGAGGGGACCCGGCGGCATATCTTATCCCGCTGGGTGACTGTCCCCTCCTCTCTCTGCCAGCGTCCATCACCAAGATGGCCCCCGGCAGGTATCAGAAGACTGCCGCATGCGTGGCGACGTCTCGGCAGGGTGGCACTTGGTTACCGGTCCGGGTGTCACCCAGCCTCGGGACGACAATGACCCCGAGCCACGCTCGGGATTACCGCCAGGGAGGTTAATGGAGCTGGTGGGGGAAAAGCAAAAGGGAATACTATAGAGTGTTACTTGAGTGACAACAGGGTCTGTTAGAGCTGCTGACATTACATCCAAGATGGTGGTGCGCAGCAGCAGCTTTATGGATTTCCTATGTGTACACAGGGGAGGCTTTTACATGTAAATAACATGCACAAAATACATTAAATGCACATATAATCCTATTGGAGGATTTTTGTTGAAATGAAGGTCAGCCAATCTGGTCTATTTTATAGCAATTGGAGGATAAGAGAGATTCTTTTTTAGACACAGGATGGGTGCTGCCAGGATATTTAAGAGGGTGCCAATACCTTTTACAATTAATCTTTCCACTAGTACTTCTAGAAGTATTATTTTCACAGATAATGTGTATGGACAGAAAGATTTTCATTAATGTTATAATCATGTTAGTAGATGAGTAAGGTCAGGTATCATATGTAACTATATATACAGTCATTTCCTGCTAAAAGCACACTGCTCCAGCTGATTGACAAACACTAGATGGCCAGATCTGTAATATCTGGTTATGTATACACAGTACATATTACAAATCTATAATAAAATCTAGTTGCTCCTTCTATGGCGATGTACTTGCCTATAAAGTCAATACATGTATGGCTAATATTTTTGAGTATCATAAAATAGAACATGGCTGTGCAGTCCTAGCCCATTTTCCACCACTCACCTTGCTGTCTAGTTTCTTCATAGTGACCAGGTCTATAGATTTCAGAGAATGGCCAGTTGGGGCGATGAAGTACAGGCACGCATGAATACGAGAATCGTAGTAGTTATGAAGAACTCGCCTAATCTTCAGCTCTTCCTGCAAGTAGGCTTCAAACTGGGAATCAATGAACTCCACAAGGGGCTTGTAACTTTAACATAAAAATGGACAAACTTGTGAGTATTTGAAACAAAAGGATCTTTTATAACCTAGTCACATTTATATGGGGTCCATTTCCATTGGTGCAAATCACCGTGCAGATTTACTGCACAAAGTACACTGAATATAGAGGGACCAATATATAAAATCACAGGAAAGAAGTATAAAGGCATTACCCAAAACAGAGCGACATGACATTTCTGCATTGCAGATAAGATACACAGACCAGTAACCAGTTGTAATTACATTTTTTTTTATTTTCAGTTGGGCTTAGACGTTCATGCATAGTACAATGAAAAAAGAACGACACATTTATAGAGCAAATTCAGATTTCTTGTTTGCATTCATAGCACCATTTAGTACATATGGCATATCTGCTATGCATTTGTTTTCTCGGGTATATACCTTCAGTCAAACAGCTAAATACCTAGCTGAAATACTTATATTTCAACTTGTTTTCCAGAATATTAACTATTCTGTTCATCAATATATCTCCACTGCAATTCATAGTGAATAGGGAAACACCAAGTTAAACAATACAGTTAAAGAATATCGCGGTGTCGCCTACCGGTCCCAGCCTACTGACTTGTCAATGAAGCAGCAACTCACTGATTAACCTCTTGCCGTCCGCCCGTAGTAGAAAAACGGACGGACGGCACTGCTGCATTGGAGCACACGTTAAAATTTAAATTTTAGACCTGAAAATTACTTCAAACATTACTCTGGTGTGTGCTGCAATACTAAACATGTGTAGTGCAATCGTCGTTTTCATATGTAGGCGCACCTGACGCGTTTTTATGTGAAGACGTGCGTGCTCGCAGGGGACTTTTAAAATTTTTTACAATAATTTTTACATTTATTTTGTTTTCACTTTACTTACAAGCCCCCCCCCCATGTGATAGCATATTGGCAGTGAAAGGTTTTCTTTAAGGTGATACTGGGGGTCCGAAAGACCTGTAGTATCACCTTTCCACTTTCAATAAGCTATTGAAGTGCACATCGCACTTCAATAGCTTATTGCTCGGCTTCAGTAGCCGAGCAATGACAGCTCGAGGACTGGAAGTAATGCAATATGCGTCCCTCCTGGTCCCATATAGCAGACAGGAGACGGGTGAACGAAAGTTCGCCGTCCATCTCCCCACCGGCACCTGACATGCAGGTCCCATGCCCACAGGAGGGGCAGCGGAGCCAAGGAAGCACTGCATGGGTGTCAAGTGTGTGTGTGTGTGATGGGGGGGCGGGCACTTTACCGGCCCGTAAAAGCAATCAGGCGGCAGCTAAATCGCCAGAACCACGGCTATTGTAAAGCCGACAGCCGGCTCTACAAATGTAAATAATTCCATCATCGTGAGGGGTAAAACATACATTTGGATTACTTTAATGAATACACAAATACATTACATGGGGTGCATTTATACAAACATTTGCAGAGCTGTCCACACTATGAAAATCGGACGTTTAGATTTAAAGCATATTATAGCCACGGCTCTATCTAGTGGCCATAATGTGGTGCGAATCGAAAAGTCAGATGTTTTTAAAGCGAAGTGCTCTGTGAACATTTTATAAATATAAAAAGCGTTAAAAGACTACAAATCATCAAGTCCTTGCTACATAATCTATATAAAACTCACCTGTCTTCCTTGTTAATTTGGTCCCCAAATCCTATGGAATTGACAATCATTATTTTCAGACGTACGTTACTCTCTGTGAGATCGTATGTGCAGGATTTCAGCTGAACTCCAGGCTGGGAGTGAGAACTTTGCTCCCCCTCAAACTTTGTGTTAAACAATGTATCCATAAGGGTGGATTTTCCAAGACCGGTTTCTCCTTTAAAGACAAAAAATCAATCAAGCCAAAATTAGTACCTACAACAACAATAAAGAACAAAATGGGTGCTACACATGGAAGGGAAATGTGATGTGCATACGAGGAGTGAAGGGAGCAACCATCTTTCATCAAGCCATAGTCTAAAATGCGACATAATAAAAAGGACACGTAGCAGAGTCTTCCATATAGTAGCACTGAGGGACCACATCCCTTCACATATTTCTCACTGATGAAAGCTGGTGGTGGCCCAAAATTGGCTTTTGAATTTGCATTATATTCTGGGAGGAAAAGCCATACTCGTGAGGAAAATGATTTTAGTAGGATTATACCTCACAGCCACGGAAATCAGAATACCGGTATGTTAAATGTTTTGCTAAATTTAAAAAAGAAAGATTTACCCTTGCATGGGCAATTCTGCAGCAGCTTAGACAACAAAATCAATGTGAAGATTGTTTTGTGCAAAACGCTCCTCCTAATTGACACTAGACACAGTGCGCTCCGGCCCGATTCTGGCCAGAACGCACCGAATCTCATTGCAGCTGGCTCGCTATGTTGTGGGGCAGGAGGGGGCGTGGCGGTCCATTGAATGGCACCATAGCCACGCCCTCTGGCTGAAATGCGATCGGCCGCACTGGAACGCATGACACATTATGCCTGCGGTCCGGACCGAACAAAATAGTGCTTGCGGCATTTTGTTCGGACCGCAAACATAATGTGCCTTGCGTTCCCGTGTGGCCGATCGCATTCACTTCAATGGACCACCACTCCCCCTCCTGCCCCACAACATAGTGAGCCGGCCGCAATGTGATGCTGTGCGTTCTGGCCAGGTCAGGCCGGAACGCACTCTGTCTGGTGTGAACCAGGCCTGATGCATAACATTTTCCTGATCTCTTTCAACTCCGCACAAGCCTAGGGCAGCAGGCCTGTAGAGCAGTGTTCCACACCATTAGGCCTTATTCACATGGGCAAGTTGCTCTGTACAGCATGTAGGGCTGGTTTGTTGATGCACCCAGAGCTGTGGGTGGCTCATTTAACTCTATCGAGACAAAGGAGACCCCACACTGCTTTCCACAGCTCTGACAGCCACACACAGACTGTGTATGTACCTGAATGCATCCTGTACATCATCTGTGCGCGGCTGTAAAAACTCAGAGCTGTGGAAAGCAGCGTGTGAGGTCGCAAAGCTCCTTCATCTCCATAGAGTCGAATGAGCTGCCCGCACACTTCCCGCAGCTCCGAGTACATTTAAAACTAGCCCCTGATGCTGTACGGAGTAAAACACACCCATGTGAATGAGGCCTTAAATCACACAGAATTCAATTTGTAGACTTGCAGATCAGAAGAGAACAGGAAGTCTGCACTACTATTCAGGAAGTACAGCATGACTGTATAACTAGAACATAAAGCTGCATATATAAAAACACTACAAATAAAACAATGTTTTGATACATTTAGGCCCCATTCACACTATAGTGTAAACGCTCATCAGGAAGAATCCCATCAGTTTCAATAGTGCCTATTCACATGTGAGTATTGTGTCATTGGTAGCTTTATAGCGTTCGCTCAAAAGAGTACATGCGCTTTTTATTAAGGCAGAATGATGCATTTTTAGCCCCATAGACATTTAATGGGTGCCTGATGATGCGTGTAACATGTGTTTTTCAAGCAATATCGCACCCAACAACAAGCTCTTCTCCTTGTAACCTGCTTTCCATTGGCTTAAACAAAAATGCTCAAGTCTAAAAAAAAAAAAAAAAAACAAAAAAAAAAACACTTAAAAATGTCTAAAGCTGCTCACGCTGAAGTGAGAATGGGCGCCAACACACACTGATGATTACTCACAATAAAATGTATCAAGTAAAATGTTTTATTTCGTATAGAGTAAAGAATGGTTAACCGACAGGTTTGTTTTCCCTGTGTTTTCTACTAGGGAGATCTCCCTCCACTTCCTGAAGACACAGCAGGAAACGAGTGGAAATATGTTCAAAGTAACATAGAGACCCCCTTTTAAACAGTTGTCACTGGGGAAAATGCCATTGGAAGATTTGCCCTCATGTCCTGTTCTGGTGACAACTGTACAACTATGGATATGGCATCACTTTCTGTACCAGTGACAACATTTTCAGGGACAAAAAAAAAAAAGAAAGGAGGATGAATCTCCCCAGAGGAGACGCAGCAATAAAAACCTGACAGGTGCATTAACCCTTTACCACTCTGTTCAAAGTTAGAAAAAAAAATTAAAAAAAAGGTTTTGCTTTAGATATACTTTAACCCCTTAGTGACAGCTTCAGAAAATGTTTTTTAGCTTTTTAGCTCCTGGGGACCGGAGCAATTTTTAACGGGACAAAATGAGCTTTATCTTGATGTGACATATGCATATATAAAAATTCTTTTTTTTTTTTATACAGAAATACAAAAAGAAAAAAAAAACATTCACAGTTTTGGCAATAATAATGTGTACATAATTAGTGTAGCTAACAGAAAGTAATTCATAATAAAATGATTATAGTTGCCCTGGTTTATAGGGCATAATATGTCCGAGATTTTAGTTTATTTTGGGAAATATAGGTCACAAAATACATATATACACAAAATACTGACTTTTTAACCATTTTTTTTTTTATTTAAAAAAAAAAAAAAAAAAAAAGTGAAAAAAAATTGTTTCAAACTTGTTTTTAAAACTAGGAGGCAGTAAGGGGTTAATTTTTTTAACATTTACATTGGCTTTTGAAACTATTCTGAAGAGATACAAAAGCATCTCTGAGGAGAATACAGTATCACTTTTGTAATACACTGATCCGGCTTACAGCGCCACAACACAGTTAACTGCAAGCCGGCTCAGTGGAGGTCACAGCACTGTGATCACTCCCATTACCTATCAGTGATCACAGTACTAGGACCCCTAATTTAACTCTTGAGGGTCTGCCTCGGACACAGATGGACCCTGCAACAGCATGAACTCAATGAGCGCTGGTCCCTCCACGGAACATCGCTCAGTGTACTGCATGACGGGATTATTCCCTCACTTAATGAACTGAAAGACCATGACTGAATAATCCCATCATCGATCAGGAAGGGGTTAAGCTGATTTTTAGATAAAATAATTCTCATTAAAACCACAACGGGTCCTTTTCATAACACTGATATATTTGGGGTGATACAATGAAGGAGCTGAAAATCGTCACTCAAATTGTGTGAATATCCACTTTAATTATCCAGGTCATGTGAAATATATATTTGTTTATTTCAGATTTTCATTTATTTTATTGGTTAGTTAAAGTGAACAGGAACCTGCTTTTCACATGATTGGATAATTGTAGTGAATATTCACATCATTTATTGAGTGAAGATTCTCAACTCGTTCAGTAAATCAGCCTCAGTGTACAGAGCCCGCTTGGAGTTGCAGCACTTTTTTTTACCAACCCTGGAGAGGGAAATAGCATTTCCTCTTCAGAGTGAAGTCATGGATTTAACACATATGCAAAACAGGTTAAGGACGTTTTGAAAATTCTCCATCTCCAAAGTTCCAAAATAACACAACTATATTTAGCCAGTTTTTGTTCCCCAAAGTATTCCAAGCACTTGCAAAATGGAACACACAGCAAAGTAGTTCAGCTATGTGGAAGATTTGTATATAGCATTTCGGAACATTTCTGAATATTTAATTATTATTGTTAACAAAATCCTTTACGCTGGAAAAAGGAAATTAAAAAAATACCACATACTAGACATATACTTATCAAGAGAGCCAAGCTCATTATTTTCAAGAACATAATTTCCTTTCAGTGAGCTCTCAAGGAATGGAGTTGTCAGTGCATTCACTTGTTTATAAAAGCTGGTCTTAAAAAGGGCAATTCCACTTTGCCAGGTGAATTTGGGAAATCTTTATAAAGATGCACATACACCTGCCGATTATCATACGATAAGCGCGGGTGATCCCGCGATCATACGATAATCGGCAGGTGTATGGAAGGCGTGCGACCGTCTCTACTGTACGGTCGCACGTCTTGCGTCTCCCGAGCAGGCTTGAAAACCCGTCGAGAATCGTACAATTGTCGGCGGGTTAGTGGCGTTCTCGGGAGACAAATGCCGCACGGGCCGGTGTGCGCAAGCGCACACTGCCCGTATGGCATTGTAATCGGAAGCCCTCCCCTCAGCGATGGCTGTAAAGTGTATGGCAAGCTT